CTAGGGAACTGTGCAGGGAGGGAGGATGTAAAAGCCTCATCTGATATGCCGTAAATGAGGCAGGACACCATGGGCAGAGAAAGAGGGGGAATCTGAAGGTTGCACTGCAGAACTGGATGCTCTGCTTACATGTGTGATGCTGGGTAAATTACTTAATTTTACCACTTCACAGTTGGCCAGTAACTTTTTTTATAGTTTGAACTGTTTATTTAGCACCTCCCATGGGCTCTAAAAAGTACTAAAACAAATGAGTTCTGCAAGGGCAACTGAGGAAGGCAAAAGGTATCATTGAAAATTATGGCAATCTGTATACCAAATCACTCCAATACGCACCTCAGAGAATGTGCCCATCATATGCATTTATTTGATGCTTCAGTGTCCAGTTATACAGTAACAAAGCCAACAGAAAATATAACAATCTGTCATGGGGAGAAACATGACCAAAACAACAACAAAAGAGAAATTTTATGTCAAGTTTAATACGTGTGCACAAATTCCAATAAGGCCTACCAAACTCTCTCAGACAAGTCACGGGTTAGTGTAGATGAAGAGGCACCTGCAAACACGGGACAGCTTTGGAAACTGCAGGACCAGGTGCTCTCCAGAGAAATGTGCCTTCCTGATGCGGCATTCATTTGTTCTCTGTAGGAACAAGAAATAAATGGAAGAATTTCAAATTTAAGGCTTGACTCTGTAATGCATATGCAGGCATAATTTAGACACCACCACCCCACCCCACCCCACCCCCCAAAAAATCTCATTGACTGAATTATTTATTTTGTGTCTGGTTTCTACTGCGCTTATCAAGAGAGCATTGCTCAGTCCAGCTGGTCTGAGGTTTTTGATACCCATCTGACTCAGAGGCAGAACTTCAAACCACAGTGGCCAGTACAGAGACATCAAAAGCTTCCACAGTGCAAAGGACACAGGAGTGAAAAGCATTTACTTGTTTAGCGGGATTAACACAGAGAGGACGCTTAGCAGTTTGCAACCATCCAGACCTAGGATTCTTCAACTATGCTCTGTCTTCTTTCTTTTCCAACTGAGCTCATTTTGTTTCCGGAGATTTAAAGGACGAACTTGAGAAGCCACCCCTGCTGCAGGTACTTTCCGTGTTTCTGAGTGAGCGGGCCAAGAAAAACAGCAGACGAAGGTAATTTTCCTCCAGTGTTCCACACCAGCTAGAAAAGATGATGAACTGCAGCAGAAAATTCGCTGACAATTTTAGCATACAGTGCAGCTCACCCCACTGAAGGGGGACCAGCAGACGCTGCTTTCTGATGGGCAGCATCACCACGCCTCCAGGTCAGGATGTTGTGCTGCAGCTTACCCAGAGCAGGTGTGAAAGGGCTGGGAAGCTTAGATTTCTCTGGTCAAAGAGTGGCTTCTACCTCGTGCTGCCAAAAGCTGTCTGCGACCATGAAGCATCGTCTGGGACGTGACGGTGTGAGCTTCCTCGGCCACGCTGTTTGCAGGCTGCCTGCCTCTAGTGACCGCAGCACTACCCCTTTGCTCTCCCCAGTGAAGCCGAGATTCACTTGCCCGTCCCTGGAAGAGCTCCTCAGCATTCACAGCCATGAAAAACCACAGGACTGGTTATGGAGTAAAAGGAGATTTATTCAGAAAGAGGGTGCGAATCCAATTAGAGCAAAATAAACAGTCTCCATGACACATTTCTTTCTCACCTCTGCAGAAGCTAATCTAGCTAATCCCTTTGTGTTGTAACAGGAAAATAATCGATACCTTACAACTCCGCAGCCAGTATTGGAGGACGCAGGCAGCAAACACCAGCTGTCTGGGCCTCCCGCCCATCCAGCTCTGCGTTTCTTACTGTGAGCCAGCAGCTGCCTCTGGTGTGTCCTCAAACTTTCTGCCGCGGTGCCTACACACAAGCACTCACTTGGGGCCACATCTCTTTTTGTCATTCCCAAATAAGCATTTTGCTTTGCCGCTGTGATGCGAGTTTCCTAAATAAGAAGACGTTCTGGGAAAGCGATCTTCCTGCGTGCTCTTGAGAGGAGACAGTCATTTCTTTCGGCAAGCGTGGCATTCGCACAGGCTGCACTGACATCCTGTGGCTCGATTTCCCCGCCTGGAAGGAGCGCGAAGGGACAGCGTCTCCCCCATCGCCTGTCCTCCGTGTCCCCCCTCTGCTCCCTGGAAGAGGCGTCTGCCCCCTCGGTGGCTCCAGCCCCAGCTCCTGCCCACCACGCCAGGCTGGAGCGTCCTGGGACCTGACCTCAGCGCAGCCCCACTCGCCCAAACACCCCCGGCCTCGGGGGCGAGCGAGCATCTCCCCCCCGCCTTTTTGGCACCCCCTGCATCGCTGCCCACAGCAGCAGGGCTGGGTGAGGATGAGCTGCAGTGACCCATCGCTGGCTGGGGTGTTGCAGGAAGGGTGGGGGCTTTTTTAAGGGAAAACCGATGAAAATCCCTCACGCTCCCCCAACCTCTGCCTGCTGGGACTCCAGGTAGAGCCGGGAGGGCACTCGCCACACGCGTTCACGGCGCCGAGCCCTGCCACGAGGCACCCAGGGTCCGCAGCGAGCTGCGTCCCCCTGCCCGGGCTCAGACACTACGTGAAATAGCACCCAGCCCCATCAGAAGTCGAGTTTAATTTTACCTTCCCCTGGGGAATAGTGTTAATCTGTAACTTTTTAGGCATCACTCGATCAGCTGAATAACAGCTATTAGCTTTGGACTCTAGGCATTTTTATGAGATATTAGTTCCAGGGCTTGTGGTTTGGCATAGAAAGCATATTATTCACACACAAAACAACTGCATTAAAATAACATTAGGAATCTGGCTTAAACTGACAAAACCTAGGAAACTCGGAATTAAGGCTGAAAGCATGTCCTTAACTCACCCACCGCGTGCCTGGTACAGCAGCTCGGGGGGTACGTCGGACCCGCTGGCTGCGGCCCCTGCCGCCTCCGGACCAGCTGTGCTCCGCTCCCCACTTCCAGGGAGGAAACAGGGCTGCACCTCAACCGTGATCCCACCACCCCCGGTGAGCAAGGACCCGTCTTTGTGCCGTGGAGTCCTTGTTCGCTCAGACGTGTGGGACGTAAGTGTAATGCAGCTCTTTTCTGTGCGTCTTTGCTTACAGAGCCAGGTTTCCTCCCCGGTCACCAGCATCACCGTGGTCAGAGCAAAAACTGCTAAGAAAGCAACACAGGCTGAGGAGGAATTTGTCCAGCGTGTGGTCAGGGGTGAGACATGAGCCGGACGAGCAAATCCACACGGTGCCTGCCTTTGACCTGCCCTTGATTTGCTTTGATTGATCAAAGTACTGCAGCCAGAACGAAACGCAGCCGGGGCAGCGACTGCCGGCTCGCGCTGGGGACGGCGCTCAGCTGCGGAGGCTGGCTGGAGACAACGCCAGCCCCGAGAGCAGCAGACGGGCCTTTCTGAAACCTGCCGGGGGAAAATCCTTGGCCCAGAAAACACCTTCTAACGTTCACTTTGTGGATCGCCTTACTGCGAGGGGACCGACGCCAAGAAGTAACGCGGGGACACAGGTTGCTGTCACCGGAGCTGAGGGGAGGAGGGGAACTCGTGCGCCAGCGGTGCCGAATGGCTCCCCTTTCACAGGGCCTGTACTCAGAGGAAGCCATGCCGCACATCAAGAAATGTGTCATAGCATCCAGTGGCTGAAAAATGAAGGAGGGTCCCCGAAAGGTTCATGCAGTGGGTCAAAAAGCAGCATTGCTGGGGGCATTCCCGGTCCAAACATCTACTATGCTCCTATTTTTCTCCCAAAGCCCTGCCCTTGGTCACGGGACACAAACATCAAAATGCTCATCTGGCCACTGGCTTTCCGGAGGGTGTATTTGAGCTTTGGAAAAGGTGATCTCAGCTGCAGCAAAAGCAAACAAAGGAAAGCAGCAGCCTCGGGGGTATCACAGCTCACATCCTCCAAGAGAAGAATCACCACAGCCCCTAGGAAGGACCAACCTGCCCACTCCTGGTGACAGACTGGCATGGCTCATTTGAAGATTTTTTTTTTTTTCCTCTATGGCTAAGTATTTGCCTCCAGATTGCCGTCAGACCGGCTCCTCCAAAAGCATGTTTGATATGAGCTTCACTTCTGCTCTACCCATTCCTTTTATTTATGAGCTCTGCCATTTCGTAGGAAACAACCCAAGATGTTCATGCATGAGGCATCTCTCAAGGATAAACCACATTAAAAGGAAGAAAAAAACCCAAAACCAGGAGGTAGCAGCCAAAAGAAAAAAAAACACGTTCAAATTGCAAGGTTGTCACGCTGCTCAGTAAAAAGGGGTGCACCTTAACCATATTGGGTGTGATTTTTTCCTCTTAGTGAGGTGAGAAAGACATTTGCTATTCCCATCTTGGAAGCAAAACAAATAGAATAATTATTTCCTTTCCCAGCAAAGGCAAACGCAGCTGAACTTAGCTCTGTGCTTTTTACTTGTGTGTCATAAACCAACACATTCCCTCGCTGGCTGTCATTTGCAACAGGCCACAAACACGGTACAACACGTGGCACCAAATTTGTGTTTCAGGTCAGAATTGAGACGTTCTGGTGATAAGATGAAGGATGATTGTTCTCTGGACTCCCTGTCCCAGAAACGCTGTAGCTAAATTTACCATAGAATAATTCCAGTTTAATTCTTAGGAGGTCTTTTAATGAAAAATAAATGTTTCGCTTGTTGTGGAACCACTCTCCAAACATAATTTGGGACCCCAGTGTCAGGCTTCCTTGGTTTTCTTTTAAGGTTGCTGCGTGTCTCCGTGTCTCTCAGAGTACAGTCAGCACCACAGGTACTCACTGCTTCCAAAAGACAGGTCTGAAATGACTGGGTGCTGCATGACGTATGGTCTGCGTCCACAACACGCAAGTGATGACCACATGTGAGTAGACCCTAATCCTCTGCTGCGCTTCCTAAAGAAAAAAAGCTCAGCCCAAAAACAGCAAATAGCAAAATCTCCTCTGTATTGGGCCCACCTCGTGCCACAGAGCCAACATGACCTGTTACAGAGCAAACGCCCGGGCCTTGCGCTTCCCGCGGCCGCAAGGCACTGTGCGGGGCAGTGCCTCCCCTGCACACGAGCGTCCGCTCATCGTTCGGATCTCACGGGACGGACGTTCGGAGCTGTGCCAGCGGGTGTCTGCAGGATGGAAAGTGCAAGCAGATGTACACATATATGCAGTGCATTTGCAGAAAATGATAGAAAATCGGCCTGGATGGGTTTTCAGGGGCCACCTGGAATGATCTGTTATCTCACCCATGCACATCTGCAATCCCCACAAATAAGTTTTTACCAGAAAATGAAAAGAGGTTGAGACTCCAGGTGTGTGCATCTTATTAAGCACACTGTGCCCCTTTAAAAATATGGTTTAAATGGCAGGTGATTGTTTCCATATTAAGGAAGGCTTCAGACTGACAAGATCTGCCTTTGCAGCTCTTATTTCTGCCAATCAAATTACTGAGGACAAGAGTGAATAGTGCATATTTAGAAAATGTATTTTTAAAGTTGGGCTTTGACTGAACAGGAACTTCATGAGAAAGTGAAGCCTCCCCTTCCCAACTCGCCGTGACTGAAATACAGCAAATGAAACAGGAAAAAAAAAAGCATTAAAAAATAAAGAAACGAAGCCGTAAAACAAAAAGGCAGTTTTGCCAGACATGCGCCAGCACCCTACACCCTTTTCTCAGGCTTGGGATCAAAGCTGGGTGCTTGTATCCAAGGGCTCTGATTAACCCTTTCCTCCCACCCTGGCTACCACCCACATCTCAGCTCTTCATCAGTCCCTTCCTTCTTCATCTGCTCTTGCTGCCAGGTGGTCTGGCATTCCCTTATCATGGCCTCAAAGGACTCCACAGTATGGGGGATTGAAAAAACAAACCAAATTCTCCTCCTGAGCCAGGCAGGTAGGTCCCCAGGTGCCTGTCCTCATTACAGAGATTGCTTTGGGAGCTGGATCCAGCTGGCAAAGGTTTCTCATTAGGATGGCAAGGCTGAAAAAGTGAAGCTGGAGGGAAACTATGTAGTTGTGGAGCAGAAGTGGCCTTGAGGCTGGGGTTAAAGAGGTGGTGGTAAGACTTTTTTTTTTTTTTTTTTTTTTTTTTTTTTAAATGTTTAATGTTGTGGGTTTTGTTT